TCTTCTTCCTCCTCGTCCCCGGCCGTGGTCTACCCCTGCGAGACCGTCAACCCGCCGCCTAGTCCCTGTACTGAACGCTCGCACAGTACCGCCTACTCCTCGTCGGCGCTCTTTGTCGTCACCCGGTCGAATCGTCCTAAGCAAATGGTAGGAGGTGGAAACAACTCATTTGGAAAACCGGCTCCAAATCGAGGAGGTGTGGGCGGAAATCGGCACCGAAAGCGGTCGAGACTTGCCAAGCAAAGACATCAGCAGCACCCCCACCATCATTATCATCATCTTCATCAGCCGCCCCCACTGGTTCCCCTCAGTGGCCCACCGCCGACGCCCTGCGGGACGGACATTTACGAAGACGATCTAGGTCCACCTATTCAAAATAAAAATCACCCATTTTACAGCCCCGAAGAGGATGACCACCACCGCCACCTGCTCTTTGCCGCCTACAAACCGCCGCCGCCCACGCCTCGGCAGTACTTTTCCGACGCGGAAGAAGGTGACGGCGGCTGTCCACCCTCACCTGTCACCGAGCACAGCTTTCTTGGAGCTGCTGCTGCTGCTGCTGCTGCTGTTTCTCCATCCCCACCGCTGACACCACTTGGTCGGCCTCCCCAAGAGTACGAGGCCCTGTAGAGTTCGAATCCTCTTATCAAAGCTCCTCTTATCAACATCTGTGATCATCATCTCATCATCATCATCACCTCATCATCATCCACCTCGTTTTTCGAACATGATTTTTATATGAATGTTATTTACTTGGCGTAAAAGGTGAGGTTCAAAAACAAACCTTCTTCTCTCCTCCTCCTCACAACAAACCTCTTCTTCTCACCTACAGTTGATGATGATGGAACAAACAGTTTGCTTGCATGCATACCAGTGCGATCCACACCTAAAGACAGTAGAGCACCTCATCCCCTCATCCTTTTTTGTTTCAGTAGTGATTATCACGATATCGATCGCGATGCGACTCGGAGCGACCACCTCCTCCTCCGTTCCGGGCGGACCTGTCACCGCCGGCGCGTTCACCACCATTTCCCCGGTCACCGCCGCCGCGTGGCTCCCCGCGCTCGGCGCGGCTGCTCTTGTGCCCTCTGCTGTCACCGCCTCGATCGCCTCGGTCGGTTCGGTGGTCGCGGACAATGATCGGACTGCGGCTCCTGCTTCGGCTGCGGGTGGTGCCCCGTCGGGCGCCCCGGTCGCGGTCGGCGCCGCCATTTCTCCGGTCTGTTCGACCTCCGCCGCTTCGAGAACCAAAGGACCTGATGTGCAATAGAAAAACATCAAATGTAAATAACCAATAAAAAATGGACAACACCCAAAAGACCACACTTACTTGTCGTCTCGGTCGTCGCGAGACTGCACCTTTTTAGTCTCGCTCAGTCCGCCTCCTAAGTTGAAATATGAAATGTGTTAATGGATAAGGATTTAATCATCAGCTTTACTTTCACTTACCTAGTCTCTTGGGCAGCCATCCCTTGACGGTGCGGCCTCGCTCCACGTCGACCAGCACTCGACGACCTTCAATTTTCTTACCGTCTCCGTACTTGTAGGCAGCTGTGGTAATGGTTTGGTGGTGGTGGTGGTGATGGGAACAGGGAGGGGGAGGAAAGAAAAGAGGCGCTGATCAAATCGGACCACTTACCCAGGCAGGACAGAAGGAGGTGGAAGAAGTAATAGTAACTGGACTGTGTACTCATCATACTTAGCTCTAGTGACCAATTCAAAGCGTATACCTGACAGCAACAGCAGCAGCACTAGCCGTGTGCGCAAGTTGTTTCAATCAAAGATAAGGGTTCCCTAAGTTTCAGCATAGTCACCTGTGGTATCATACTTTACTTTGCCGCGTAGGTGGTAGTAGAAAGTCTCATCATGGATGATGATGATGATGATCATCGTCGGAGGATCAGACTACCCTCAACAGACTTACTCTGATCGTTGAGAAAGAAGGTGCAAATGGCAAACCCTCTCTTTCCTCTAAAATAGAACATGGCGCAACATACAAACTGTCCACTGGAGAGAAAGTTTTTTTCGGTAGAGGGACACCACCCCACTTCTACCAACTCCAACTTTTTTACAGCTCTTGCAAACCCTCAAGAGCGGATTAGGAGGAAAAGGACTTGTTGTTAGGGTAAAAACAGAGTCCAACCTACCAGAAAGGCAGTACTGTTGCAATTTTTAGAAAAGAGGAGTAGCACTCGCAATGAGTAGCTTGCCTGAGAGTAAAGGTAAAGTGAAAAGGAACAGAGTGGTAATGATAACCTTGTTACCTTGAGTTTACCTGAAGCGCGCGCCAACTGAAAACTGTTACTTTACCTACACAGTTATTATGATAGGGCATAATAAGAGATTACCTCAAATGAAATTAGAGAATGCATACTTATCATGATACTTATCATGAGGAGTGACAGACACCGGTAATCGTCATACTTAGCACAGTGTGATTGTGTCATTGAAATCATTGGTCATCATCAAACGTATCATCAGACGTCAGTGTAAAGCGCAGAAGAGCAGAGCAGAGAGAGCGGAACACAAACGCACACACACACATTAGCAAATTCGGGAGTAGGTGTGTACTTACCATGCATGTCCTTTTCATTTTCATACTCAACAAAAGCGTAGCCCTTATGCTTTCCTGATATTTTATCGTAGATAATGGAAATCTGGTGGAAAGGGAAGAAAAGAAAAAAGGATTTGTTTAGTTAGGGAGAAGTTCGAATTGAGAGCAGCAAAAGTTTACCTTTTGAATCGGACCAAACTGCTCAAACTCCTTCCGCAGCTTCGATTCAGTCGTGTCGGGGGTGATGTGGGCGACGAAGAGCGTCTTGTAGGGGTCACTGGTCGAGTCGGGATTGTTGTGAGGGTCCCCTGAAGAGTGAAGAGGTTAGTGAATGATGACAATAACAACAACCGATTTACTTACACAACGCGATTCCCTGTTCCTTTATGTAGGCCGCTTGCTCCTGCTTTTCTCGCTTCTTCCTCTCCAGCCGCTCCTCTCTCGTCTCAATCTTCGTCGGCGGTGGTGTGTCTTTTGGATCCTTTAAGATAAAAATGAGGAAACGATTAGAAAACGATGTCAAAAGGCAAATAGAAAACCGTAAGCTTACCTCAAAGAGGTGCAGGTACTGGCCGACGCCAAAGTAGCCCTTGGTCTTCTTCTCGTGCGGCAGCTTCACCACCGGCGGCAGGAAGGGCAGCGGCTCACGGGGGGCGAAGAAGGCCAACAGATTGGGCGGTAGGTACTGGGTCATCTTGGAAGGGCCGAATCTGGGACAATAATTATTAGGAGGTGATTCCGGAGATCGGAGGATGATCAAAACACAAACACTTCAAACTTCAGTAGAAGACCATCTGCTCAGGCCGAGCACAAAGAAGCACAACAGAAAAAAGCAGTGGCACGTCATTTGCGTGCGTGCCACCAGCGTGCCGCCGCCGCCGCCGACAGTGAAGCACCGCACATCAAAGCAAACACAATCACAACATCTGCACACCAAATCTCCGGGGGAAATCTTTGGATCGACCTTTTACTTTTCTGGAACTACTCTCGAGATCACCCCATCACCCCACCACCACCACCACCATGATCATCCCCATTCGGTGCTTCACCTGCGGCAAGGTGATCGGCAACAAATGGGAGCCGTACCTCAACCTCCTCCAGGCGGAGTACACTGAAGGGTAAGGGCTTCTTTTTGGCTTTTTTGTTTTCTATTTTTTCAATTTCTGATCACCTGTTTCACCTGTTTTCAGTGATGCCCTCGACGCCCTGGGCCTGAAGCGGTACTGCTGTCGGCGAATGCTGCTCGGTCACGTCGACCTCATCGAGAAGCTGCTGAACTACTCGCCCGTGGAAAAGTCATAGACGTCCGCTTGGTGCGGCGACTACCATCATCATCTTTATCACCTGTAAATAGCAACCACTGTTCAAAGACGATTCTGTTTTCTGTTCCCATCAAAACACACCTTTCCTGAAAACTGCATGACTCAACACTGAGCCAATAAATACCGTAGCTCACTCATGTTCCCGAGAGGTATTTATATGTCGGGAAAGACCGAGCTAATCGAGAATCGGTCAGCGTTGACGTCACACACGCACACTGATTCAAATGTCAATTTCAAGCGCTATATAGCACATGAAAAGAGTGAAAAGAAGGAGAGCGTAATTTGCAGCATTACCAACAACAACAACAGTAGAATCTTCACTGTGACGTAATTTGCGATGCGTCAGTCAGGAGAATACCAGTACTTTAAACAACTGGTATATATCCCCCAGAAGCAGCAGCAGATACTAGTCAGCTTTACTATATGAAAACTCAAGAGAAGAAAAAGAAGATGAGGAAGAGGATATAAGGCAGCAGCGGTGGCAGCAGTCACTTCGAGGGCAAACCTCGAACTTGAGGCCACCAAAAAGACATGAAACTAAACTTTTTAATTTGCCTGGTTTCGCTCATCACCCTCTGTCATCTGGTTCTGGGAAAAGGAGGTAGGGGCGGTGGTGGTGGTGGAGGTCGTGGAGGAGGTAGTCGAGGAGGTGGTAGTCGTGGAGGTAGTCGAGGAGGTGGATCAAGAAAAGGCGGCGGCGGCGGAAAAGTTTTTGGAGGCGGCGGCTACGGAGGCGGCGGCTACGGAGGCAGCATCGGCGGCGCCCCTCGCCGCACCTACGGTCACTCCTTTATCTTCTTCCACTCCTCCTCGGGAGGACACTCCTCCTCCTATTACCACCCACGAAAGGCCATCAATCCCAATGTGGAGATTTGCAATGGTAAGTGAGTTAGCTGATTTGGAGTTCTATTTTGCTTCCAAAAACTAAAGCCATTTTCTCCCCCAGACTACTACAGCCACGCCTGCGGCAGCTGGTCTCTGGGCTGGGCCCTAGGTCCCTCCATCTCGCCGTACTCCTACGCCGACCTCCCGCCGGACCAGCAGCACGCCGTGGCCCAATCTAAAGTGGACTACAACCTCTGGAGCCTCCTGGCAACGACGGCGGGAGGTGGTGGTGGTGGCAACCAGAATCGTTCGGAGCAGCACAAGGGCTTCGACGTCCAGCTCTACGAGAAGTGCTTCCACCGAGGTACTTTCGATGATCAAGTTTTTTTTCAAAACAATAACAAACGCTTTTTCAGGCTTCACCGATGACCACAACGAGTTGGCGCGCTTTCTGCAGCCCGCAGACCAGCGCTGGCCAGTCCTTGGACGTCTGCCATCAAGAGCCAAAGATTACGAAGACGAGGGTGATGGTAGTGATGATGGCGGTGGTGACAAAGACTGGTGGTGGTACAGCGCCTACGCCCAACTTCTCCTCCTCGATCTTCAGCCCTTCTTCAAGGTTCATTTCACCGGCCCTGGCGGCCACCACATTCACGTGAGCCATTTAGAACAGCGACAACAACAACAGCTTTAAAATCTCTCTCATTTCTAAAACACACTATAGCTCAGCATTCCCGACCACCTCCTCTACTCGCCGCACTTCAGCAGCAGCAGCAATGTAAACAACAACAACAGCAAAAACAGCTCCTGGAGCCCGCAGATGGAACGCCTGGCTCGCGGCGTCGGCTACCTCTTTCGCAGTGACGATGCCCAGCTCAACACCTATCGCCTGCAGGAGGTGGCCCAAGAGATGGGCGTCCTGGAGAAAAAGCTAGCGGAGGCGAGCCGGCCGAACCGGGCGCTCCTCGCCAGCGGCCCCTTCTTCCACGTCGACGCCGACCGTCCCAAGACGATGAAGCTGGGCGTCTTCGTGGCAAAGGTCGGCTCTAAAAGGAGCCCGAAGAAGATGATCAACTGGGTCCGCCTGCTGGCGGTGATCAGAAATGCCACGCTCTCTGCGGTCGTGCCAGCTCAAAACTTCATCAAAACCACCACGATCAAGTACGAGTCTTCGAACCAAAGATTCGAAACGCTGCTGGTCACCGTGGACAACCTCCCCTACTTTCAGCGGCTGACCAGCCTGATCGAGGCGTCCGCCTCCGACGAGCTGCTGGTCAACTACCTCCGCTGGGCGGCCATCCACCGCTACCACCACCTGGTGGGCGGCCCGTTGCGGGCGATCTTCGCCGGCTACCAGGCGGAAGCGGCCGGCGCGCCGGTGGTGAAGCGCTGCACCGACCTGGTGGCCACGGTCTACCCGTGGACGGTGACGCGACGATACGTGGCCGCCTTTGCCGGGCGGCCAGTTCGGCAGGCGGCCCAGCAGCTGGTCGATGAGGTGAGGGGCAAGTTCAGCGAACTCCTTCTTCAGCCGGACAAGGAGGCTGTAGCTTGGCTGCCGAAGAAGGGCGCCGAGGAGGCGGCGAAGAGGCTGGCCGCCTTGAAGACCACCATCGCCGCGCCGAGGTGGCTGCTGGACGCCAAAAAAGTAGAGGACTTTGCCGTGGACGTCGGCGAGGCGACCTACGCCGGCTTCGACCTGGAGGAGCTTTTCGGGCGGATCGTCGCCCGCAGCCTGGACCGGATGCTGCTGGTGGAGAGGGAGTGGCGAGTGGGAAAGGCCAGCGAAGGGGAGGAAGGGGAGGTGGCCTTCACCACCGACGGCCCAGTCTTCAGCACCGAGTTGCGCTACGATCCAGTGGAAAATCACCTCAGTAAGTGCTGTGTTTTTGTTTACATTTCGTGTTCTATTTTCTGATCACTTTATTCTTTCCTTTCGCAGCCATACCCTTCAGCCTCCTGCAGCCGCCCTTCTTCAACGCCTCCTCCTCCGCCGAGGCTTGGCTGGTCAACTTGGCCACCCTGGGCTACCAGGTCGCCGACCAGCTCATCACCGGCCTTCTGCCTCTCTGGTGGAACGGGACGCACTTTGCGGCGGCGGCGGTGGTCAAAGATCGCTCCGGCTGCTTCAGCAAGGCCTTCGACGCCGACCATCAGCTGACGGTAAGCTGCTTCTTTGTTAGAGGACTGAAAAAGAGAAGTTTCTAAATCTTACCTTCTTCTTTGCAGATCGACCTGCCCTTCTCCTCGATGGGCGAGGCAGTGGCCGCCGATCGCGCCCTCCGCCTGGTGGACGTCCTCTGGCGCGCCGGCGGAGAGCACTCCTCCTCCTGGTCCGGCCCGACCAAAGACAGCATCGACGCCTTCTACCTCACCTTTGCCCAGGGCCGGTGCGCCCAGGTGGGCAGCGAGCGGAGCGCGCTGGCGAGGAAGCAGGTGAACCTCCTCCTGCGCTACGAGGCGCCCTTTGCCGAGTTCTACGAGTGCGCCAGTGATGCGCCCATGGCCGGCGACCTGGCGCAGTGTCGGGCCCTCTTCTGGGCCGACCCGGAGCCCTTCGACTGGCTGATGGCCGTCGTGTACGCCCTGGTGGGCCTGCTAATACTGGCCGCCCTAGTTCGGTGCTTCTACCGCTNAGTGATGCACCGATGGCCGGCGACCTGGCGCAGTGTCGGGCCCTCTTCTGGGCCGACCCGGAGCCCTTCGACTGGCTGATGGCCGTCGTGTACGCCCTGGTGGGCCTGCTAATACTGGCCGCCCTAGTTCGGTGCTTCTACCGCTGGTTCTACAAGGAGGATAGACAGTAGTGGATTGTGCCAAAATCTTTTGTTTTGGTTTTTATTATTTTACGACTATTTCCACCCAGTCCACCCAGTCGATACACTCCCCCCAATTCTCTTTTATGGGTGGAGTCAGCTCATTGACATTGATAACAAAGAGAAATCGTGTGTTCATGCACACACAGACAGACACAAGGTGATAAGTAGAGAAATAAATTAAGTTACAGCAGTTGTAGCAGTGGTGGAATGTGAAGGGGAGGGGTGAGACCATACTGGAGAGGAAGGGGAGGGGGTGGTGATCATTTAGAGGAACATTTACAGAACAGAGGCTCGCTTGTAGTAGGGAAAGTAGTCGAGATCGTAGGGGGCCACCGGGGTGAAGGGATTCCGGTGACGGGGGGCTCGGTGACTTCGGGAGTTCGGGCTCTGTCGACCTTTGTGATGATACTGCCGATGATGGGACTGCGGATACTGTTGATGATAATGACCACCTCTGCCGGCTCGAGGTAGTCCCAAAATTCGATTCTCTCGCTGCAGCAGAGCGTACAGGTCGGCTGGCGAAATGGGTGAATAGGATGAGGGTGAGGAGGGTGACGGGTGGTGGTGATTGTGGTGGTGGTGGTGGTGGTGACGAGAGTAGTGAGGATAGGAGTAGGACCGAGGATGCGAGTAGTACAACTGCTGCTGCTGTTGCTGCTGAGGGTGACGATAGTAGGGATCCATTCGAGCCGAGGGTGATGACAGGGAGGTCGGTACAAAGGTCGTGAGGGGCTGCTGTTTTCGGGAAGGTGAGAAGTGGAGAAAAGAAGAGGAAGTGGGCACATTAGATCTCAGTTTATTGCAGAGTAACACTTGAATTGAAAATTAGATTCCCTTTTTTTGCTGAAAGGTGGAATAGAAGGGAATATGAGGGAATAAAAGACAAGAGAAGAGAAAGAAGAAGAGGAAAAGGGTAATTGAAATAAAAACTGAAGGTGTTGTTAAAAACAGAACCGGAGAATCGAGGAAGGTAAAAGAAGAGGAGAAGGGAAAAAGTGAGAAGAAAAAGAGGGGAAAAGGGTGTAATCAAAAGTGTGTACGTGTCTATATTACTACTACTACTACCAAATTAGCACTACCAGCCACTACTACTACCACCACCAGTAAAAGGTTGGGGTCATCAAGCTAATCATCATCAAAATGGTAATCATCTTGATAATCGTTGGTATTACCCCAAGACCCGCTACGCTCTCGATCACGCTCGTGCGCTCGATACGTGGGCAGGCGGAGGAGGGCGTTCTGGCGGAGGAGCAGCACACGCACAATGGCGTCACCGTACAGGGGACGCACGGGGCGGTGGGAAGGAGGAGGGGAATGAGAGGGAGTGGTAGAAGTAGGGGTAGAAGTAGGAGTGGGACGCACCTGCTGACCACGACTTAGTAATGAGGAGGAACTGGAGCTGCTCTCTCGAGGCCGGCCGCCATCATCACGTTCGGTTTCGAGTTGTTGTTGTTGTTGTTGCTGCTGCTCTTGGTCCACTTTTCCCTTGGTCAGCTGTCGGGAAATAGAAGTTGGCATTTCCAGCGTCTGTGGTTGCCCGGCTTCGTTGATGAAGGTAATGGGCAGTAGAGGCTGCTGCTGCTGCTCGAGCGAATTCAGTCCATTGGGCAGTCCTGGATCTTCTAGAAGAAAGGGAGGATTGTCCGATTCTTGAAGACTACTGTGATAAGGAATTGATAAGGGGGGTGATGATAAGAACGCCCAAACACTTACTTGAGACCCTTCATCTGCTCGGCGGTGTAGCTGGCGCGGCGGGCGCTGATGCCCCGGCAGTACGGGTGAAAGACCACTCGGCGGCAGTCGACGACGTGGGCGGCCGAGGCCATTGGAGGCAGCAAATTGCAGCAAAGGAAAAGGACAGTCGTCGTCAGGAGAAGGAGGTGGTGGTGGCGGAATAGTGTTCGGCCGCTTCGGCTTTGTGTCCTTGACGGTGGTGGTGTTGGTGCTGGGGCCATGATGGTAAAAAAGGTGGTTTGGGGTGGCTGAAGATGGGATTTCTGCTTGAAAAGCTTGCTCAAAAGCTGCAACACTGCTTCTTCTTTGAGGATGATGATAATGACACCGACCGACCGACCAACTCTCAAACGGCAAGTGACAACCGTTGCTGATCGTTTTGTAGAGCTGGCAAACGATCAGAGATGAGAGTGACTGTGATTTGGGCTGCTGCTGCTCTTGCTGCTCTTCACTGTCAGTGTCAGTGAGTCAAGTCTGCCAGAAAATGCAAAGATCGAATCACTTGGGCACACACAGAGTCAGTGTTGATTTGCCTGGCAACAAAGAAGGGCAGGCAGGCAGTGCTGTGTTGTTGCTGACCAGCGGAGACAAACGAAAATGATAAGGGGAGATTGAGATATCGAAGAGAAGAAGGAGAAGGAGAAGAAGTTGACACTGAGTAGATGACACTAAAGTGACACTCACCGGTGGCGAGACGAGTCACTTTCAGTGGCCGTCGTTGTCGTTGTCGTGGTCGTGGTCGTTTTGGTGTCTTCGTGTGCAGCAGCAGCAGCAGCAGCAGCCTCGTTCGCGTCTCCAGGTCTAATGAACCATTGAAAGATCATGCTCTCACCCGGAGCGGCGGCGGCGGCAGTTTTATTCTATTTTTCCATTAGGCAAACTTCATTATTCGATTGTGCGAGGGCGGAGGAGGAGGAGGACAGTTTGGAGACAGCCTTTTGCACAGTTGCTGTCCGTGCTCTACACTCTCTGCACTCTGATCGTGCAAGAGACGGTGCTGCTGTGGTCTTCTTTCACGCGTCGATGGTGTGAATGGACAGTAGACGACAGTAGCGGTGGTGGTGGTGGTGGTGATGACAACCGAAGAGGAGAGGGAGATAAACAATAATAATAGAATGTGTGTGCTTAGGTGACACGGGCCAATGAATCGAGAGCTGTCCGAGAAACGGCAGAGAAAGAGAGAGAAGACCGTTACTCGGGCACGCAGGTACACACACACACGCAGACAGACAGGCTGTTGTTGTTGCTGTTGCTGCTGCCGTTCCTTTTTATATGCAGACGGAATGAATGCGGACATGGCGAGAGACGATGTAGAGGAACAGGTCGAGGTTGTGGTGGAGTTGTTGATGATAATGAAGATGAAGGTGAAGATGAGGCAGTGGTGATCGATGCTCAGGCAAACAAACAAAGCAGTGCAACGAACTTCACTCATTCATTGCTGCTGCAGCTGCATTCAGTGATGGCGGTGAACTGACGTCAAAACAATGCACTTTTCTTCTTCTTCTTCTTTCTTGTTCTTCTTTCCTCTTTCTCTTCTATTCCGTCCGTGTCCTTCACCGGTACGAGATGATGGTGGTGGTGATGATGATGATGATGCAATCCGATTACCGCCACCGCCTACTCCTCGACACACTAAAGTGCGAGATCTGTGCATCTCTCTATCACTCTTTATATCTCTCTTCCCTATCTTCTTCTTTTTCTTTCTTCCTTTTCTTTCTGCTTAGCTGCCGCCGCTGTCCTTCAGAAGCCGCAGCGGCGGCAGTCATTCACCTGTTGACATTGATGTAAAGATGAGGATGAGAAGGGCAAGAAGAAGGCAAACTCGGTGCAGATTAGCCAACTCTTCAGCTTGGCAATGGATTCCGCTCGTAATCAATCTGCCTCCGCGTTCTTGAGCTTTCTTGACCACTACCACCACTTCCTCCTTCCTCATCATCTGTTTCTCATTCAAATCTCTTCAATGCTTAGGTTTTTGTGCCTGTTTTCCCCGAATGCACCCACTCACCCCTTTTTTTCTTTCTGCCAGGCCGTCGCCGTCGTCGTCGTTTCGATTAATCGTCGCTAGCCGCCAAGCCCAGTTTGAATGAAAAGAACTGTGTGTACTGTTGGTTAGTTAGCTTTGCTGGCGGTTGGCGGCTTACGACGAGTCGACCAGCATCAATCAACGACGGCGGTGGCGACGATGCTATATTTATTACGAGAGCTGCAATCAAATGAAAGAGATTGAGAAAAGGGAGAATTAGGGAGCTTACCGATGCTTTCTGGATTTCAGCCAAACCGAGGGAAGAGAGGAGTGAGGGGAGAACCGGAGAGCTTTTTCAGTCAAATTTGGGCTTCTTTTTGCAGCGGCGGCAGCAACTGCATTCCTTCCACTTTGGCTTCGCTTGGTAACTCCCGCTTGCACCCGAAAATACACCGGTTACTCAATTTGGCGATGCAGCCAGTGTAGCGGTGGTGGTGGCGGTGGTGTTGGTGTTTTGGGTAGTTTAAGGCACACACTCGGTGAAATCGTGTGCACTAAAGCTTCATCCACTCATTTGCCAATGTTTGAAAATCTTGAGGAGGGAGAGAGAGAAAGAGAGAGATAGAAGTAGAAATTGTCATGCATTTCAGAAGATGGAAACATTGGAGCAGAAGTAGAAACAGCAGTTCTTTGCTGTCAGGCAGGCAGACAGACAGTTCTCTTTCTCTCTCTCTCTCTCTCTCTCTCTCTGCTCAGTTCACCCAAACAGTTGCCGCTGTCATCATCAACACGGTTGAAGAGCCTGAAGAGAGAGAAAGAGAAGACAAGCAACATTACCAACACCATTACAGTTACACATCTTACCAGCGCTAGTGGCAACGACGACAAGTGTTGTGAATGGGACGATGGCGAGGATGAAGAAGATTCTGTTGGTGTCTTTGTACGATTAACTACGGATGCAGCAGCAACGGCCCGGTGATTTCGTGTAGACGTAGCAATGGAAAGTTGAGTGAAAGAAGAAGAAGAAGAAATGAGATGCAAAGAATTTGGTGGCGACGTTGGCGATGTTGGCGATGATGAGGAGCCAGGACGGTGCTCTCTCTCTCTCTCTCTCTCTCTCTCTGCTCTACTCTATTACTCCACTGAAATAGGTATCATTTTTCAGTTCGAAAAGAGGAGCAGCGGTTCAGGCGAAAGTGAAAGTGGAAGTTGTGGTGGTGGTGGTGGCAATTTGGTCAGGAGGTTTCTAGATGTACAGTGTCTGCGCCGAGTCTCTTAAGAAGAAGTCTCTTGAGCAGCACTCTCCTCGGTAGAATCATTCCTCGCCCAGTCGCCGCTCCAAGTAGATCACCATCATCATCACCCGTCGCTCTTTCTCGGTGAGTCTTTTCTTCCTCTTCTTTGGTGTTCTAAATTACAGTGACTTGGCTTGGCACAGCATCATCTTCTCTTGAAATCTTTCTCATCTTCTAACTTCTTGTTCTATTTCATCTTTGACCACACACAGTCCAAGCACACACACACATCTTCCCCACCAGTAAACAATGGCCCACTACGGTATTCAGGCGCACGTTGCCGCAAAGACGGCCTCGAAGCGATCTCCCGGTCTGGAGAAGGCCGTTCTTGAATGGGTCTTCTCGGTCATTGAGGAGCCGCTGCCCGAGGGCGCCGGCTACGAGGAGACGCTCAAGGACGGCGTCGTCCTCTGCAAGCTGGTGAACAAGGTGAAGCCCGGCGCCATTGACAAGGTAAGAACATGAAAGAAAGGGCTTAAAAATGGGTTAAAGAGATGTTAGAAATTAGAAATTAGAAAGACTTACCCGGTTCTTTACGCGAACAGATCGCCACCAGCGGCAGCGGCTACCTGCTGATGGAGAACATCAACAAGTTCCTGAAGGTGGCGCAGGACCTGGGCGTCTCCCACGACAACCTCTTCCGCACGGTGGACCTCTTCGAGAAGAAGAACATCCCCGAGGTGACGGCCGGCATCATCGCCCTCGCCCGTGTCATCTGCGCCGACCCCAACTTCAAAGGACCTCAAATTGAGAAGTGGGTCTTTGCCAACAACTAAGGTGGTGATGATGGTGATGGTGATGATGAAAGCCGATCAAAAGCCGCTTTGCCATCAGTACTAATAATCTCCGCAGAAAGAGCAGCGCGCACCTTTTAACCAGAAACTGGCTTTCTTTTCTTTTTTCTTCTTTGTCTTCTTTTTACGTTTTTTGTACCATTGTCACACAAACACACACACACCGATGTCTTCTTGATCACTTTATATTCGGGTTATCTTGAGCTGAAGGCGATTTGCAGCAGGCAGGCAGGAAGGCAGGCACCGGAAACCCCCAAGCACACACTTCCAAAAGAAATAAACGATAATCAACAAAAAATGTTTTGGGGGGGAGTGATGATGATGAGCACGAGAGAAAAAAAATGGCGGAAAAATCGAGAACTTTGAATTCGCACATTCACTGGAACGCCGTTCAGCGATGAGGTAACATGGAAGAGAGAAAGAAGAGAGAGAGCGAGAAAGAGGAGAGAAGGGAAAGAGGAGATCTGCTTTGCCGCACTTCTTTTGTTGTTGTTGTTGTTTGTACCTGTGCTATCCTGATGGAACAGTGGTCCACAACATCTTCGGGTGAATTCTTCAGGTGAAGAAGATACTCTCTTCCAGAGATATAAGCATCAAATATCAGATATCAGCGTACTTTCTTCATATCTTCTCTCATGGTCGCCCATCATCATCATTTGTCATCTTCATCAGTGTGCGGCAATTGACGCGTAAATGCGCTGCTGTTGTCATTTCGAAGCCCGCACCATTTCAATTGATTCCACCCATTTGCAGCCAATTATGGCCACTTAGTTGCTGCTGTTGTAGTGTTATTTCCTCCTCATTGCCTAATTATCGCCAATGAACAGGCTGCTCAAGCAAGAAGTCAGAAGATGATGAAAACNCTGTGTGGCAATTGCCGCCTAAATGAGCTGCTGTTGTCATTTCGAAGTAGACTGATTTTTTGCGCCGAATTGGCGAGCTACATGATTTTACTTTCACTGCGCTAAGCCAAACTTGCAGCTGTAAACAAAAAGGAAAAACTCCGTCCCTCTGAGTAAACTACAGTGCTGAGGGACCACTAACAAAATCATGTAGCTCGCCAATTCGGCGCAAAAAATCAGTCTATTTCGAAGCCCCCACCGCATTTGAATTGAGCCCATCCATTTGAAGCCAATTGTGGCCACTTAGTTGCTGCTGTTGTAGTGTTATTTCCTCCTCATTGCCCAATTGATCGCCAATGAACAGGCTGCTCAAGCAAGAAGTCAGAAGATGATGAAAACGAGGAGCGGTCTGCTACCGTTCTGCTCCACCGCCAAAAACAGCAGCAGCAGCAGCAGCAGTCTTCTCGGGTGCCAAAACAGATCACCGAAAAGCTATCCTCATCTGGTCATCAGGTCATCAAACAACGGTCGCCAAATTGAAAGACGGTTACTGATGGAAAGCGGCGTTTCGGTTGTCGCTGATACTGGCACAGCGGCAACAACAACGACCATTCTTTCTCGGATCGGCCGAAGAAAACGCTGCAGCTCATCATCATCGCCAACGCCAACTTTATCATCATCATCATCATTCTCTGTGATTGCCCATCTTTACACCTATTTACCGCTCATATGTCTGCTCACATTTATCAGCTTCAGCAGCAGCTCAACTATTCTCGCAGCTAATGGTAAGCATCAACAAATTCGTCAAGTTAACTTTGCTAATTTCTATTTTTCCTCCTTTGCAACCACAACAACAACAGCAGCAGCACCATCTTCTCGAACACTTCGAGCCATATCATCTCCGACGACTTCAGCCCCAACCCCAGCACCACCGCCGACGTCCTGCATCATCGGCCGACTGCGAGAGTGCCTCGACGATGAGGACTGCTTCGAGGACGCCCTGCCGGCGGAGGTCGCCGGCAGGCCCCAGGTGCGGGTGATCGTCTCGAGCGCAGCCAAGGCAGCCGACGGCACCGCCGTCCTCGACCAGCAGGTCGTCCACTCGCACACCTTCCTCTCCAAGCAGGCCACCACTTCCTCATCATCATCTGCGGAGGACCTTCCGGAGGTCAGTAATCAGAGGATGGGCACCTGCACCTGTCGCAACCAGGCGGGCAAGGACTGTGCGCGGACGAGGCGAGAACAGCAGGCCAGAGCATCATCATCATCAAGCGACCAACGATCTGCAAACGACAGCAGCAGCAATCGCAGCGGTAAGTAGTGCAAAGACAGAGCCCAGAAATCGAAGGTTCCCAAAACAAACAGAGCTAATTTAACTACTGCTTTTTCAGGCGGCTCCCCACCACACCGCCGATACCTCCTCAGCTGCCTGGTCCTCATTCTCTTCGGCGGCTGCACCATCTTCGCCGTCTACTTCTACGGCTTTCGCCACGGCCTGCTCCACCGGATCGCCCGCCGGCTCGGCCTGACGGACCGCACGCAGATTGAGCACCAGCTGCTGAATCGAATTCCCTCCTCATCCAACGGAAACGGCGGGGCGGCGGAAACGCACGCCGAAGACGAAGGCGCCGCCGCCGACTCGTCTTCGGCCGTCATCATTGCCTAAATGCTGATGAAATCGCCCAAGATAATGTTGTACAAAAGAAGAAGAAGAGTGCTCAAGATTCTCCGACAATCCATTGTAAATAGACCGGAACCTTTCGCCTAAAGACAGCCAAGCTCTCTCTCCCTCTTCGGCGAGATTGTACAAATGTAAACACTAGGTTTGCTATGTAGCAGCAGCAGTCCATTAAAAGTCCAGATCATCATCGGGGTCGTCCTCGTCAAAGTCATCAAACTGATCGTAGTGGTACACTATCTGACCGCCACAACCACCACCTCCAGCACCAGTGTTTGCAGCGGTTCCTCCCGTGTTTGGCTGGCTTTTCCTGAAAACCAATGCAAAGTAGAAAGTGTTACTATTCGGGTCACAGACCAACAAAGACCACCACCGTACCTGGTGTAGGGCAGCACCAGACTGTCCTTTGCCTCCTGCTCCTCCCTCTTCAGCGTCAGGTTGAAGGTGGACTCGGGCAAGGGCGTGGTGGTGGTGGAGGTGATCGTGGTCGCCTCAGTTTCTTTCGTTGACTGGCTCTTCTGCTGCTGCTGCTGCAATTGCATCATCGCCACCTTGGCCAGCTCCTCGCCGGAGAGGAAGCGGGTGATGCGGCCACCGCTCTTCAGCTCCATCTGAAGCTGAAGGTGCTCATGCCGTCGGGTCACCTTCAGGTGCGTCCGCGGGTGCTTCCGCCTCGCCAGCACCTGAACGTGAACTGAGGTGATGGAGTTGCCGCTGCTGCTGCCGCTGCTGTTTTGACCTTCATTTGTCTCCGAGGAGAGCAACTTCACCAGCGGACAGGAGCGCTGAAAGTCGGAGGGCAGTCCTGCGCGAGGGCGAAAGTCAATCACCGCATTGGAGAGGTGGGAAAGTCTGAGGGGAGGAGGAGGAGGAGAAGGAGAAAGAATTTAGCAAAGATGAATCAAAAGCTAAAAAGAAAGAGCTTCACTGACGCCAACTCGATGTACTGGTGCGAGGAAGCACCGAAAACATCGGTGTGCAGCGTGAAGACGACGTGGGAGAAGGGCCGAGGCGGCTGGTGAAGTCGGCCGAGCCAGGCAGCCACCGCCTTCGTGGCCGCCTGCACCGAGGAGTCCTGTTGCTGCTCCACTTGTTTGGAAGTTCGATCTCTACTTCCGCTGGACATCGCCTCCATCAGCAGTGGCACGACAGAGTCGATTACCAGGACGGAATCACGGGAGGTGGAAGAGGAGGAGGTATCTGAGGACAGCGACTGAGCTCGACCTTGGGCGGCCAGCTCCTTGAGGATGTGTTCGCTCTTTAGAATCTCCTCTTCTGGGCCAATATCGTCCGTGTCGAGCAGCAAAACGTTGGCGGTGTTTCCGATCCGGTTCGCCGCCACGAAGGCCTCCTTGTCGACCTCTTCCAGGCACAGAATCGTCAGGTGCTTTGAAGGTTGCTGTCTCTTCTTCAACTGATCTCCACCTCCTTCTGCCCACCGTCTAATCAGGTGGCGACGATAAGCGGCCATGGAAGTTCTCGAATCGAGGTCATCGAGAAGCGCCAGCGTCAGCGGCGCCAGCCGATTCGAGTCCTCGAGCAGCGACTCCAGCAGGCTGCCGCGCTCCTTGATCAGTGCGTTCTTGCTGCTGTTGGAGAACGATGATGACATGCTGTGATGATAATGATGATGATGATGACAGCTAAAGAAACAGAGAAGATGAAGAAGAAGTTAGGATATTCTCTTGATGGAAAGAATTTGATGATGATGATGGAACAGAATTTTGAAGGGAATGATGCGGCACGTGCCCGTTTCGGTTTGTTGTTGTGCATGTCATTTACGGATGAAAGCGCGAACTTTTTTTCTGATTCCCCGACAAGTCGTCGAAATGACATCTGCACGAAACTCATTTTCAGCCCTGCCCACTCCACAAAAATGGCTTCACGCCTCCCTACGCCAGCAGCATCTGTTCTCGTTGATTGTTGTTGGATCTCTCGCTCCCGGTCTTGCAGAGTTGTTCTAGATGTAAAGTAATTCAGCATTGTAATGTGTGTGAGTTGGTCAGTGCTCTCCACCGCTAACACTGATAGTGATAATGGTGAGATAACGGAGGGGTGATAGCATCAGAGGTCACAGACTACCACTTGTCTTTATCTGCTTTTTCTGAACACCAATGAGCATTTGGGAGTGGCGGCCCACGTGCTCATCGGCAGTCTTCACTTTCCTTCCTGATTTGCTTGCTCACAGTGCGTCTGCAGCTTCAGTTGACTAAAGTGATTCGGTTTCATTGAAACGTTTGGCTTTGAAGTGGCCACTGGCCAGCTGACTCTTCAGTTTCAGTATTCTAAAATGACTTCTCTCTCTCTCTCTCTCTCTCTCTCTCTCTCTCTCTCTCTCTCT